TATATATATATATATATATATATATATATATATATGTATGTATCTGTCCGAGATTACTTACTTGGTTCGGGATTCTTCTCTGTAGCAGCATTCTCAGTTTCAGGTTCGGGGAATTGCTGATACTTACCATCTTCAAAGTTGATGTGAGCCTCACTAGAGTGAAAGAACACAGCCATTGTGAAGCAGCTGCAGTGAGAAATGTGTTTTCTGACGTGCAGCACTCTGAACACGACAACCCTTTCCTGTTTGTCACTGGCCCTCCTGTCCTGTGGAGAGGAAGTATTGGTTTCCTATATCGACAGTATGCACTTGATGCTTCTTTGGCTATTTTTCTTTCCTATTTATTTACTATTTAATATATATTTGATTCACATTTTAGGAGAAAATCAGTGAGAATATTTTCAGATTTCATTCTTTTTAACAAAGTATTTATTTAGGGTTTTGTTGTGTTACAACAGGATCTTTAAAACGTTTTTTAAATATTTTACTAAATAGTATCGAGATAAAACACATTTTTAGTGTTATTTAAGAATACGTGCTTGGTGTGTTTATGAGTTATGTTACACAGACCTTTTCAGATTATATGAAAATGAAGTTTCCCATTTTTATGTTTTGCCAAATGTAAATTCAAATGACATTTCAATGTCGCCCTGTAAGGCAGCTAAACTTCAAACTTCTTCCATTTGAAGTACTTCACGATGAGCCAGTCAGATCAAAATCAAACTGATGTCATTCTAGCTTTCCTGACTGCCAATTGGTCCTGGCCTCAAACTGGAGATGACATCATCTCAGGTGGGACATGATAAGAAAGTGTTTCTCAGCAAATTAACTAAAATATTCACCCATGTATTCACCGTTTTTACTCTGTAGAAACATCCTGTTGAGGAAGAGGCACTGATTACAGCAGCAGCTTTACACAACAGGGTTACAGAGACATGGACAAGAGAAATGTGGCTCATGCTCCTGTCTTACACAAAAACATTTATTTCTATTGAAGCAGCTCATTAAATGGGGAAAACACTGACATGTAGAAAGCATTCTGGTACAAAATATATACAGTACATATACAATATTACATGAGTGAAAATAACTTGTCCTAGCATCACGTTCACAACCCAACATGACTCTTCAGCTGATTATTTTAAACAAAACATGCAACTGTCCATGTTTCAGACCGTAAAACCAACATGACACACAATGGATGAGACTGGACCTCAACACACAGAGATACATTTAGAGAATCAAGCCTGAATGTAGAATCAAAAAGTAGAAAAGTTTGGTGTATTATTTGGACATTAAATGCATGCATTTTCTGCTCAACTGTAATTTGACTGCATCTGCAGGAGGACCAGAATCCATCAGTGCTCATCCTTTAGAGGGCGGAGGGGGGCTGGAGCTGATCCCAGCGGACGTATATGCAGTTTGTAAATGCGGGAAAACCCACTAAGACAGGCAACCGCCTCCTTTAATGCTCCTATTTCCAGGAGAGTATGCCTTTCTATTTATTCTGGTGTGTCACCAACAGGTTAGTAAAACAGTGGAAATAATAATGCGGTTACTTATTCAGTCTCTCTTCAACCTCTGTGTCGACTCATTTGGAACAGTGTTTGATCTGTGATTGGATCATTGCATCATTGGCCTCTCTGCTGGTAGGAGCCGGAGCAGGAGCCGGTAACTACCTGACCTGACCACTGCAGAGGCATTTGTCCTGGGAGTGAATGCCTATTGAGACCTTTCCCTCTAAACAGGGGCAGCAGAGAGAGACAACCATTCCCACCCACAGGCACTTTAGTCACCAATTAACCTCAGCTGCATGTTTGGTGACTGGGTTTGGGTTTGGGTTTTTTTGACAGTGGGAGGAGTGTGTGTGTGAGGGAGACCGATGAAAGCATAGTTATGAATATTTTACTTTAACTTCTGCCAATCAATTCCCCCAAATCCCTCCATATACATATACATATACACACATATATACATACATATATACACATACATATATATACACACATACAGTTGTGTGAAAAAGTGTTCGCCCCCTTCCTGATTTCTTATTTTTTTGCATGTTTGTCACACTTAAATGTTTCAGATCATCAAACAAATTTAAATGTTAGACAAAGATAACACAAGTAAACACAAAATGCAGTTTTTAAATGGTTTTTATTATTAAGGGGAAAAAAAAAATCCAAACCTACATGGCCCTGTGTGAAAAAGTTATTAGGTTTGCCCCCTAAACCTAATAACTGGTTGGGCCACCCTTAGCAGCAACAACTGCAATCAAGTGTTTGCGATAACTGGCAATGAGTCTTTTACAGCGCTGTAGAGGAATTTTGGCCCACTCATCTTTGCAGAATTGTTGTAATTCAGCCACATTGGAGGGTTTTTTTCGAGCATGAACCGCCTTTTTAAGGTCATGCCACAGCATCTCAATCGGATTCAGGTCGGGACTTTGACTAGGCCACTCCAAAGTCTTCATTTTGTTTTTCTTAAGCCATTCAGAGGTGGACTTGCTGGTGTGTTTTGGATCATTGTCCTGCTGCAGAACCCAAGTGTGCTTCAGCTTGAGGTCACGAACAGATGGCTGGACATTCTCCTTCAGGATTTGTTGGTAGACAGCAGAATTCATGGTTCCATTTACCA